AAGGACCATTCCTATTCAGATAAGGTGAGGGCCACCAGCTCAGGGACGCGAGGTCCTCATAATGACGCTTCGCATGCGGCGCATCCTGGGATTTGTAGTTTTTTAGCGATAGCGATGCGCAAACTTGATCACTCTGGTGAAAAAAGATGGGCTAGAAAATGATGTTCTGAGACTAGTTATTAAAATGATGTCCACTTATGATATTATACAAGGCGTTCAGTCATTTCTATTTCAAATGAAATCTCTTTCATTGCTCCCTTACCTTGGGGAGTGGAGTGGGGTGTCACAAAGTTTTCGTGACGATTCCATTTACAAAGTGTGTGGCATCGACCCAAATACATAGCGCAAAACAAATCACAGTTTTCATTATGAGACTTTCAGATGTATACAAAATTAAAGGTATAACTGCCTAGTTACAAGAACCTGGCCCATTTCGCTCCCCGTTCCCAACACTTAAGTTTTTGCCTGGTTGAATTGGGGGGGGGGCGGGGGTGTGATTGTGTGTTTCTGTGGTGCTGGAGATTGAACCCAGGAAGCACTGAGTCACATCCCCAGCCCTTTTTTAAAATCTGTTTTTGTGACAGACTAGGTTGCCCGGACTTGTACTGAACTTGTTATCTTCCAGCCTCAAACTCCTGAGTAGCTAAGATACAGATATGCTTACCATGCTGGGCAAATTATTTCTGAAGCAATCTCCAAACATAATTTCCTAATCACCAAGTGTTTTTTTAATCACCTCTTTTCACTTGTTAAATTTTAGCTTGCTCTTTTTCAAACTAACGTGAGACATTAAGGATTTTGCATTCATTGGGCTGCAATGTGGAGCTTAGCATGCTAGCATGCTTCAGGACTTGGCTTCATTACCCAGGACCAAAAAGATGAGATGGGGGGGGGGATTTTATATACGTTATCTAATTTAATCCTCGTTATTTCAATTAATCCTTGAAACGATTCTAATGGGAAAATGATATAATTATAGCCACTATGTCAGAGGTGGTCTGTGTCCCTTATAATCTCACTTTATTAATTCTCCAACATTCTGAGGTTGGAAGGAAATACATCTTGTACGCCGATCATCTCACTGTTTGGAGTCAGAATCATATTATTTAGACAAAATTATAGAGTATATTGTTAAGAATATCAGGCATAAAAACTAAAAAAAAAAAAGAAAAATCAGGCATAGGGCTGGGAGTGTAGTTCAATGGTAAAACACTTTCCTAAAATGTTTGAGGCCTTGAGTTTGATTTGTAATACCGCATTTCCCCAAAAATAATATCAAGAAATTCACTTTTATTTTTTAATTAATTTTTATTGGTACATGTTTGCCACACATAATTACAGTCATCATAGGAAACTTGTATCTGTACATAATATATCTTAAATCTTCTTTTCCCATTCCCCTCCCCTCCCTTTAACCCTTCTTCTCCTTTCCATTTACAAAAGCTTGGTTTCAATCTTTTTATTTCCATCATTTTTTTAATCTCTATCCTTTCCTCCCTTTCCCTAGCCCCTTCCATTCTTCCCCTTCCCTTCACAATAGCTATCTTCCATTTTGCTCCTTTTAAACAAATAATATCAGAGACACAATGTACATTAGGTACAACATGAGTCACTGGTAATTTTTTAAGAAGTGAATGTTACGGTCCGGGAATTTAGCTCAGTGGTTTCGCCGCCTCCTGCGCAAGCGCA